TCATTCAATCAGTTTTTTCATTTAAAGTTTAAATCTTCATCGTTTATAGGTTAAAGAAGATAAACTTTAGACATTAAATGCAAGTACTCTTTATTATTCGCAACCAATCTGCTTGTAGGCGTATAGAATAGCACCCAACGTGCAAGCTTATATTACTAGTTAATCTTATAATTGTCACGCAGTTTGCAACTTTTCTTAGGCGCCCATCTAATGGTACAGAAACCCAAAACAATGAGGAGGCATCGCCATTAGGAGATACATGCACTTCATCACAATTTGGGAGCTTGTCGACCAAACCAAGCGACGAGAACTCGTCACAGGAGCAAGCCCTAACTCTCGATGAGGAGAAGATGCGCATGAAGCTATTGGCTCGGATGAAACGAGACACGTCTGCAAGTATACTGCAGGATGAAGGTGTATTTCTTCTGACTGGGCTACTGTGAAGAAGGAGATAATCAATCGCTGTTGTAGAGGGACAAGATCGAGCCACTCCGTCAGGAAGTGTAGAGGAATTCTGCAATCAGTCTACGCAAACACTGGATGGTGAAGAAGGCCTAGAAGAGGTTTTGCCTTTGTACAGGTATTACGACTGCCATGTTTACTTTGTAGATTTTTAGGTTGGCAATGTTTTTTGCAATTTGTTTCTGCGCTTTAGATCGAATGGTTTTCCTGAACGGCTGAAACGATTCGTCGGTTTACCCCCTGACATGTCTCTTACGCCTACGGATTGCCCTTTAGAAGCTTCAGGGGAAAAATGTTCAGATGTCTTTTGTCAGTCGTACGTTTCCAGAGATTCTTAAGAAGGAATGGGAGATTCTATCCCTAATCTGGTGTAGCATTTTGCTCTTAGGATTATTTTTTGCTAATCCCTTGCCTTTACTCTTCAGCTTGATTAGGAATTTTTGGCAAAGGAGCCATCGATGGCCAATTTTCAGAGCACACATGAATGACGATCAGTTATCAACAGAAGACGTTCTAGCCATGATGATCAGCTACGCTCCGGGTTTGGTTGATTCTGGCGATGATGCTAATATAACGAGTTCGCCTTTTTATTTCTTTTTCCCATTTCATCTGTTGAAGGCATTCCCTCAATTTTTGCAAGGGAAGCGCATTGAGTTGAGTGATGAACTTCTGCTGGTTGAGAACCAGAAACGTTTTGCTCGAAATCTACTTCTAATGTTTTTT